GAGGCTCCGCGGGGAGGGGAAAGGAGTGGGTCTCACAATTTCTCTTTTACAGTTCGCGGATGATACTCTGATTATTGGAGAAGCTACTATGCAGAATCTGTGGTGCTTAAAGGCCATCTTGCGCTGTTTCGAGTTAATTTCAGGCATAAAAATTAATTTCCACAAGAGTTGTGTGGTCGGTATTCATTCTGGGGCAGATTTCACTAACTTGGCGGCTGTTTTTTTACATTGCAAGGTGGGTCAACTACCATTTAAGCATTTGGGCTTGCCTCTTGGTGCTAATCCTAGGAAGTTGTATACTTGGAAACCAATGCTTGATGGCTTACGAAAGCGTCTATCCTCTTGGAAGCATAAACATTTATCCATTGGGGGGAGAGTGACTTTAATTAATTCGGTTTTGAATGCTACCCCCATCCATTTCCTTTCATTTTTTAAAGCTCCAAATTCGGTGATTAAGGAAATTGTGGCCATCCAACGTGATTTCTTATGGAGAGGTGTCAAGGATGGCTTGAAGATTCCTTGGGTAAAATGGGAAACGGTGTGTAAGTCAAAGGTTGAGGGTGGACTAGGAATCAAAGACGTCAGATTGTTTAATTGGGCACTACTATGGAAATGGGTGTGGAGGTGCATGCTTTCCCCGAGTATGTTGTGGGCTAAAGTTCTTCATGATAGGTATGATCGTATTGAGTCCTTTTCAAATTTCTTAAATGTGGATAGGAGGGCCTCTTGGTGGTGGAAGGATATAGAGTGGGTGCTACAGCAAGGGAATTTTTTGTTGGACGAAAAGACTGAACGTTGTATTGGTGATGGCACTATGACCCGATTTTGGGAGGATAAGTGGATAGGTGGTTTGCACTTGTTGGTTGTCTTTCCTCGTTTGTACTCTTTTTCCTTGGACCCGTTGTCAGTGGTGGCAGGTAATGGAACTTGGGGGGGATCTACGTGGGTGTGGCAGGGTAATTGGAGAAAAGAACCTTTTGTCCATGAAGGTAGGAGTGTGAATACCTTGTTGGATATGCTTCAAGGCTTGCAGGTTATCTCTTCAAGGCAAGACTATTGAAGATGGATTTATGATAAGGACGGTGTATTCTCGGTGAAAAGTGCGTACCTTTGGCTACAACGCTCGGTAGGTGGAGAACTCAGATACTCTTCGAATTTTTAACTAGTTATAAAAAGTCTTTGGAAATGTAAGGCTCCGATCAAGTGCTTGGTGTTTTGTTGGCAGGTGTTATTGAATGCATTCCCGTGCAAATCTTTGTTACAAGTACGCGGTGTGGAGTTGGATAAAAATTTCTGTTCTTTTTGCTCTCTGTTTGTTGAAGACCCTCTTCATCTCTTTCTAATGTGCCCGATGGCTTTTAATACTTGGTTAACTGTTGCTAATTGGTTGAAGGTTGCGGTGGTCTTTCCCAATTCTTTAATTTCTCTTTATTTATATTGGACGAATCTTGGTATATATAAAAAATATTCTCTTTTTGCGGGTGGTCTGGGTTTCTGTTATCTGGTCACTATGGCTTCATCGAAATGTTATTATCTTTCATCAAGGTACTACAGATTGCAAGGAAGTGTTGGATAATATTAAATTGCGTTCATGAAAGTGGATTAATAGTTCTGTCCCTAGTTGTTCTTTTAGTTACACAAGTTGGTATTATAACCCAGATTTGTATTTCTCATAGTTTCTATTCTAGATTTGATTCTAATTATGTCTCTGTGTCTCTTGTAACGGGTTGGAGTACCTCTTGTACTCCCTTTAATTTAAATCTCTTTTTCTTATTAAAAAAAAATAATCTTGGAGCCAAGTCGTTTTCATTTGTCCACCAATAATTGCGGGGACAGAAAATATATTATTAACCTGGAGCATATAATAATCAACTTTCTAGCTAACCTTTTTCAGAGTCAAATGGGTTAGTTTTTATTACTCTATCTCCTTCCCATTTTCCAAGTTAACATGTTCAACGTTTTAGTTGGTACTATAATTACAATATAGCATTCACTTTAGCTCCAAATCATTCACACTCACCCATCCACCATTTTCCCTAATTCTCTTTTTTCTTTCAAAATCTCTCACTCCCTTTTTTAAGCATGAACTTACATTGATGGTTCAACCACTATTCTGTCGAATAATAATTTTTTGCCCATCATCATAGCCATGAGTGACACACACTTGATAGAAATCTTAAACAAATTCAGGTTAGGGAAAATAAATGCTCTATATGGTTGCCCTATCACTCCCTCCCTCTCACAATGAATAGGTCTCCCCAATTTGTTATAGAACCAACAAGTTGTGCTGCCGGTGGTAACCATTTACAAGCACCAAACTTAATAAAAATGGAAGACCCATTAACCCATTATGGGTATTGTTAAAAATCACAGTAAAAAAAAAAAAAGAAGAAGAAAAACTAGTTTAATATTGTGACTTGCACCCCCATCCAAATTTGATTTCATGTGTTTTGAAATTTCAGCCATTTTTGTTGCTCTAACATAAGAGGCTGGGGTACTCACATGGGAGATTATTTAAAGGGAAAGTGATGTACAAAATATTGTTGTGTCCTTTAAATGTTTGAAAAGAGCATCCACCTACACTTTGTCAAAATGATGTGTTTAATGGATGCTACTGCTGCATGAATCTAATTAAGAGCAGTTACTAGACCAAGTCATTAATAGACCTAACAAACATTAAATGTACAATTTAATTTTTATCATAGTCTTTAAAGTTGCTCACCTAACTTCTCGTATGACTTTGATGTTTATTCTCTGAAATCAGTGGAGCCGCAGATGTAGCACACCCCTTTATTTGCCACATTAATTAATCAACTAAAACGTACTATTAGTATTTTCAATGTAAATATATTAAATTATTAATATACTTGTTTTCTCGAAGAAATAAAAAAAAATATCATTATGAATAATTATAAAAATATAAATATAAATAAAAATAATTTTTAGTAATAAATATCATGTCGTAATTTTTTTTTTTTAAGTAATCCCTTGTCATGCATAGACCTCTCTTGACTGCTAATCCTCTTTTTCTTCTTTTCCAAAAAAAGAAAGAAAAATATATCTTCCTATTTCTCCAAATCTGTAGTTAAGGTTGGGAATGTGACCGCAATATCAAAGTTCTAAGGTGAAAATTTGATTCAAATGTAGTATAACGTCCACATCATTGATAGATTCTCCCTGTTCATAACAAGGGGCCCAAATACATGTCTATATCTCATCCATTAACAACACCAACATTTTAAGGGGGTGATAGAAAAAACACATCCCAAAAGTATTTTAATCTTTAGTATGTTGTGTATCTGATATAGGAGCATGTTTTTGCCTTCTATATATGGATATACACAAGACAAGATTTATAATAAGCTTTAAAGAAATTAAGTTTGAATTATCATTTTTCCTAATTTATTGTTTTATATATAATACATCTTTTATAATTCATAGACCATGTATTTTATTATGTAAAATGTACCGGAAGGGTCATATCGGCCACGTGGATCGGCCACGTGGACCGGCACGTCATGTCCTATCAGATATTGACACAGCTGACATTACTTCGACTCGTAGATCGGTCACGTGGACCGGCACATCATGTCCTATCAGATCAGATATCACTTCGGCTCGGCAAGGGACCGAGAACCACATCCTTCCCCTGTCGGCTCGGCCAGACGCCGAAGATGACGTCTCGACCATCTCGTATCGACTTGGCTGAAGATCAACAGAGACAGTAATTAGAACGGCGATCATGATTAACAAGGGACAAAACACAATTAAGGTATAACCCGCCAATTAACATCGTATTACCTAATTTGGTAAGTGTCAGAGAAGGCCCACCACGTTCAGGCCCATGACAGGTCTTATAAACAGGTCACACGTAATGAGGTATGTCACTGTTCATTTTTTACCTAGAAAATCGTGCTTGTCTTGACTTGAGCGTCGGAGTGCCTTTTGCAGGTACCTCCCCCCCTCTGAAGTGTCCACCAGAAGTATCTGCTCGGCCCGTCACCACCTAGAAGACAACAAGTGTATCCTCAGACAGGTACATTTTGGCGCCCACCGTGGGGCCGAACCGATAGCTGTGAAGAGACTTTTTGAAGACATTATGGCAAAGACAAGAAGAACTAACCTTGAAGACCACCAGTCCGAAGATGAGCACCCATCCGGGGCAGACAATGCCGAGACGGTAGAGGAGACAAACTTGACTGACATAGTGCGCCAAATGAAGGAAGACATGGCCGCCATGAAACAGCAACGGGAAAGGGATGCTGCCGAGATGGCTGCGTTGCGAGAGGAGAATGCTGCCCTCAAAAATCAGTACGAAGATCCCACGTGGAAACCTTCCGAGCCGACTCACACCCAGGGTTCGTTCCACTCGCTCGGGCATCACACTTCTCTCCCTCACACTTCCACTATCGCCCCGGGGAACCACGCCTCGGCTGCCCACGTAACCGGTCGACCCGCGTACGCCCCGCCGACCGGGGCACACCGACACCCTTTCACCCCCAACATCATGCAATCCTCCCTTCTCGATCACTGGAAGTCCCTTCCGATAGATAAGTATGACGGGACCACCGACCCCGACGAGCACGTTGACATTTTTCTCACCCAAGTCACTCTCAGCACCTCCGACGACGCCGCCCTATGTCGTATATTCCTAACATCTTTAAAAGGAAGAGCATTGAGCTGGTTCACTCGTCTCCCGGCCAACTCGATCGACTCTTTCAACACCCTAGCATCCCAATTCACCATCCAGTTTGCCACCAGCCGACCCCACCATCTGACTTCCCTCGCGCTGGTGAGCATAAGGCAAGAGAAGAAGGAATCCCTTCGGACCTTCATGAGCCGATTCAACAAAGCGGCTCTTGAAATCCGAGGCCTCAATCCGACCGTCGCCCTTCATCATTTAACGACAACTTTGAAGCCAGGACCATTTGCTAACTTTTTTAAAGAAACCCCCGTCCGACATGGACGATTTGAGACGCCGCGCTGACAAATACATGCAGATGGAGGAGCTTACGGAATTCCGCAATCAGGCTAGGGCGGAGGTAGCGGCCAAAGCTGACAAACTAGCTGAAAGCTCTTTCCGGAGCCGTCCCAAGGACCTTGTCCCAAGACAAAAACCCGTTCGTGGACCAAGATACACTCACTACACCCCATTAAACACTAGCCGATCGGCTGTACTGGACCAAGCACTTGCTTCGGAAGTCCTGGCAGTACCAAAACGAGCTTCGACCCCCCCGCGTGCCGACACAAGCAAGTCCTGCAGATATCACCGCAACCGGGGTCACTCGACCGAAGAGTGCGCGACGCTAAAAGATAAGATTGAAGACTTAATAAAACAAAGGCAACTCCAACATTTTGTCGACCGACCTCGTTCTCCTCAATACAATGATCGTCGACATCGTCAAGATCAGCCTGATCGAGACAGATTCGACAGGCATCATTACAGGGAACGAAGCTGGTCGAGGGGTCGAAAGGAAGATGAACCGAAAACTCAACCCCGACGGGTCATTAATACTATCGCCGGCGGATTCGCAGGCGGAGGCCCTACCTCCTCAGCACAGAAGATACATTTGCGAGCTGTCCGAACCATCCACGCGGTTGAACGCACCCGACAGAGACTGCCGACCATCACAGTCACCGAGGCCGACTTCAAAGGCATTGACCCTGACCAAGACGACCCCATGGTCATCAGCGTCGAGATCCACAACTGCATTGTTCGAAAAATGTTGCTTGATCAGGGTAGTTCAGCCGATATCCTCTACTGGAATACCTTCAAACAACTCGGTATCCCGGAAGCCGAGCTGATCCCATACAACGAGACCTTGGTTGGATTCTCTGGCGAACGTGTCCAAACCAAAGGGTACATTAAGTTATACACTTGCTTTTGTTTCGATGGAGCCGAAGCCTGAGATATCTCGGTTAAGTACGTGGTTGTGCACGCCAACACTTCGTGTAACATACTTCTCGGAAGGCCCTCTCTCAACAAGCTAGGTACAATCGTGTCAACTCCGCACTTAGCCATGAAATTCCCTTCCGAATCAGGCTGGATCATTACGGTCCATGCAGACCAGAAAGCGGCCAGGGAATGTTATTTCGCCAGTCTTCGGTTGCCTCGTCTCGAAACGGTCGAGCCGCGCGGAGTGAAATGTGTCCATACGGTAGCACAAAACCATGAAACGATAGTGGACTTTGACCCTCGAATAGAGCAGGACGAGAGGGTTGAGCCAATTGAGGACCGACATCCAATTGTTATCGGGCCCACCGACCTACACGTAACCTACCTCGGCTCTAACCTGTCCGAGATCGAAAAATGCGAAATCGGAAAAGTTGTTAGGAAAAACAAAGACGTCTTCGCGTGGCGGCCGGCCGACATGCCAGGGATCGACCCAAACTTCTTGTGCCACAAACTCTCAGTATGACGAGAGGCTAAACCGGTTGCCCAATGAAAAAGAAAAATGGGGGAAGAAAGGAAAAAGGCAGTCGAAGCAGAGGCTTCCAAGCTCTTGGAAGCAGGTTTCATTCGAGAAATCCGGTACACAACCTGGTTGGCCATTGTTGTGATGGTCAAAAATTCAAACGGCAAGTGGCGAATGTGCACCGATTACACGGATTTGAACAAGGCATGTCCCAAGGATTCCTATCCGTTGCCGAATATAGACCGATTGGTTGATGGAGCGGCCGGCCATAAGTTCTTAACTTTTCTCGACGCGTACTCAGTTTATAATCAAATCTGTGTGCACCCCCGAGACGAGGACAAAATGGCGTTTGTCACATAATCTGCCAATTACTGCTATCAAGTAATGCCGTTCGGCCTGAAGAATGTCGGTGCCACCTATCAACGGCTCATGGACAAGATTTTCGGCAATCACATTGGGAAAAATATAGAAGTTTATGTAGACGATATGGTGGTCAAATCGGCCGACACACCTTCCCAGGTAACGGATCTGGCCGAAGTCTTCCTTGCACTCCGGAAACACCAGATGCGACTTAATCCTGACAAGTGTGTATTCGGCGTCTCAGGCGGCAAATTCTTAGGTTTCATGCTGTCAAGCCGGGGCATCGAGGCTAACCCGGACAAATGCCAAGCTATCATCAACATGAGAAGCCCAGTGCACTTGAAAGAAGTCCAAAAGCTGGCTAGCCGATTGACAGCGTTGTCTCGTTTCCTACCATGTATGGCCGAGACTTCCAGGCCGATCCTTAGCCTCTTGAAAAAAGCAAATCGGTTTCAATGGACGGACGAATGTCAAACAGCTTTTCAACTCTTCAAGAAGCGCCTCGGCACTCCACCCGTGCTAACCAAGCCGACAAGAGGTCGAGAACTAATTCTATACTTGGCAGTTTCTGGCGAGGCCATAAGCGCCGGTCTGATACAGGAACAAGATGGCCAACAACAACCCATATATTTTATCAGTCGAGTGCTTCAAGATGCCGAGCGCTGATACCAACTGTTGGAGAAGGTAGCGCTAGGACTCATATACGCGGCTAGGCGCCTTCGGCAGTACTTCCATGGCCACATCGTGGTGGTCCGAACAGATTGTCCGATCGCCAAAGTACTACGAAAGCCAGAACTAGCCGGCCGAATGATGGCATGGTCGATTGAGCTATCCGAATTCGACGTCCGTTTCGAACCTCGGGGAGCCATAAAAGCACAAAGTCTGGCCGATTTCATCAATGAACTTTCGCCACTTGGCCATTTTGAAGATAATGCTTGGACCATGCATGTCGACGGATCGTCCAATCAACAAGGAAGTGGTGCCAGCATAATCTTGGAAAGCCCATCCGGTATTACCCTCGAGCAATCACTACGCTTCGGCTTCAAAACGTCAAACAATCAAGCAGAATATGAAGCTTTGCTTGCCGGCATGAGGCTAGTTGCCGAGATGGGAGCCACACAAATCGTATGCTAGACCGACTCGAAAGTGGTGGCCGAACAGGTCAATGATAACTTTCAAGTCAAAGACGAGAACCTATTGAAGTATTACCATCTGTTCAAAGGGATGAAGGATCAGCTTCAGAGTGTACAGGTCTGACACACACCACGTTGTAACAATGAAAGAGCTGACCAGCTAGCTCGACTGGCCAGCAATCGGAAGCCAGGACAACTCCGGTCAACCATCCACTTGGAACTACCCACGTCAAGTATTCCACAAGAGTGCATGCCGGTCGAAGAACCTTCAACTCCGTGGATGACCGACATCACAAACTACATTGTTAACGGCTCCGAACCGACCGATCCGAGTGAAGCTAAGAAAATCCAAACCCAAGCAGCACGTTACTCTGTGGTGGCCGGAGAGTTATACCGACGAGGGTTCTCCACACCCTTGTTAAAGTGCGACGACCAGCAGAAAGCCGACTATGTTCTACGAGAAATTCACGAAGGAATCTGCGGATCACACTCAGGTGCAAGAACCTTAGCTGCTAAAGTGCTGAGGGCCGGTTACTATTGGCCGGCCTTGAAAACCGAATGTGCCGAGTACGTGAAGAAATGCAAGCAATGTCAACAACATGACAACTTGATACACGCCTCGGCCAAGCAGCTTCACGCGGTTAGTGCCCCTTGGCCGTTTGCTCTATGGGGTATCGACATTCTCGGCCCATTCCCACTCGCCGAAGGCCAGTGCAAATTCTTGGTGGTATCTGTGGATTATTTTACCAAGTGGATAGAAGCCGAACCGCTTGCAACTATAACGGCCGCAAATATCCAAAAATTCGTATGGAAAAGCATTATCACCCGGTTCGGCATTCGACACCGGTTCACGTTCGTCGAACACCCATAGTCCAATGGTCAAGCCGAAGCCGCTAACAAGGTTGTCCTCACCGAGTTGAAAAAACGACTTGGCACGGCCAAAGGAGCGTGGGACGAAGAGCTTCCTGAAGTTCTTTGGGCGTACAGGTGCACGCCCCAATCAAGCACAAAGGAGACTCCGTTCCGGTTGGCATACGGCACGGACGCTATGATTCCAGTCGAAGTAGGTGAACCTTCATTCCGACGGACACACTTTCACGAGGAGTCTAACGACGACGCAATCCGAGCCGAACTGGATGTCGTAGAGGAAGTCCGAGAGAAATCCCAAGTCATAGCTGAAGCATGTAAACAACGAATGACTCGGCGGTTCAACTCCAAGTTAAAACCAAGAAATTTCCAAGAAGGCGATCTTGTTTGGAGATCAACCGGCTCGGCACGACGAAGTCCGACCGAGGGGAAGCTAGCAGCAAACTGGGACGGCCCATTCAGAGTCCGACACTCTCTCAATAACGGCTCGTACAAATTAGAAGAACTGTCCAGCAAGGTCATCCCCGGACATGGAATTCCACCCACCTGAAGACTTATTACAGCTAGGATTCTGTTTCATGTACATGTGTAAATGTCTTAGGATGCACTCTTTTCCTTGAACCGGTCTTTTCTCCTCTTAAAAAATTGTGAAAAGAGGTTTTGGCCGGCAAGGTTTTTAACGAGGCATCCATTCATCAATAACAATGCAATTCAGATATCTATGACTTGTTTTATATTTCTGCAAAATTTACAAGTCTTCCCTCTCGAGATGTCTCTCGGCCAAGGATGTGACTTCAATTTACAAGTCTTCCCTCCCGAGATGTCTCTCGGCCAAGGATGTGACTTCAATTTACAAGCCTTCCCTCCCGAGATGTCTCTCGGCCAAGGATGTGACTTCAATTTACAAGCCTTCCCTCCCGAGATGTCTCTCGGCCAAGGATGTGGCTTTCATTTCAATTTACAAGTCTTCCCTCCCGAGATGCCTCTCGGCCAAGGATGTGACTTCAATTTACAAGCCTTCCCTCCCGAGATGTCTCTCGGCCAAGGATGTGGCTTTCATTTCAATTTACAAGTCTTCCCTCCCGAGATGCCTCTCGGCCAAGGATGTGACTTCAATTTACAAGCCTTCCCTCCCGAGATGTCTCTCGGCCAAGGATGTGGCTTTCATTTCAATTTACAAGCCTTTCCTCCCGAGATGTCTCTCGGCCAAGGATGTGGCTTTCATTTCAATTTACAAGTCTTCCCTCCCGAGATGCCTCTCGGCCAAGGATGTGACTTCTACAAGCCTTCCCTCCCGAGAAATCCTCTCGGTTAAGGGTATGACTATTTCAAGCCTTCCACGCGTTAAATCTATATAAAGTAAACTACGTTCGGAAAATTTGCTAAGAAACACTTTGATAAAAACAATAGATTGCATTGAAAAGACGTAAGGGCTCTAACGGCCCAAAATTACACAAAATTAAAAAGGGCACTATCGGCCACTGCATACAAATTTGTAAAATAACCCTAAGCCTGTGCCTCGGGCTCCCCTTGGGTTAAGGGCTCCTGCTCGGCCACTTCCTCCTGCACATGGCCGTCGCCACTCGGTTCGACCTCATGGCAAACAGGAACTTTAGTGTTCGGCTACTCATTCGGCGGGATTTGGGTCAGATTGACATATTTCCCCCGATAGAAATCCATGGTCATATCAAATTGAAAGTCCAGAGGCAAACTTCCAAAATGCCAGGCTTACCGAGCCGCTTGGGCGAAGCTAGCTTCATGCTGAGAGAGAACCTTGCTCCTGGCCCTCTCCCGGTATGCACCGAAGTCCTTCTTCTCGGCTTCTAGCGCCTTTAGCAGCGTAGCCGACTTCTCAGCCTCGGCCTTCAGAAGATTCTCCAATCGTTGAACCTTCAAGGTCAGGTCATCATTCTGACGCCTCCGACGGTCCAGCTCCGCCTCACATTTCTTACCATGCCCTTGCGCCTCAGATAAAGCCGCCAAGGTTTCTTGCACGGACTTTTCCGACTCAGCCAGCTGTCGGCGCAACCCGTCGGCCTCGGTGTTCGGTTGCGTCATGATACTTTGAGCCAAAGCCAGGGCTCGAGCCTGCAACTCGCAGAAAAAAGTCCACTTGTGGGACGAAGTCATCTG